GCTAGAAGTCTTCTGGTGGAGATTTTGGGGGAGGGGGACGGTCTTCTAGATATATGATAATGTCATCAGCAAACTCAGTGTGACTTCTTTTCCTATTTGAATCACTTTAATTTCCTTCTCTTGCCTGATGCTCTAGCTAGAATTTCAAGGACTATGTTGAATAGAAGTTTTGAGAGTAGACATCCTTGCCTCTTTCCTGATTTTAGAGGAAACACTTCTAGTATTTCTCCATTCAGTATGATGTTGGTTTTGGATTTGTCATAAAAAGACTTTATGATGTTGAGGTGCATTCCTCTCATCCATAGCTTTTCAAGCATTTTTAACATGAATGTGTGGTGGATTTTATTAAAGGCCTTTTCAACATTTATTGAGATGATCATGTAACTCTTGTCCTTAATTCTGTTAAAGTGGTAAATCACATTTATTGATTTCATGTATGTTGAACCAACCTTACATCCCTGGAATAAGACACACTTGATAATAGTGTATTATCTTTTTTATTGTTTTTTTTAATTCAGTTAGGCAAATATTCTATTTATCTGTGACCTATTTTGGAAAAAGTTTCATGAGCTGCTGAGAAGAAGGTAAATCCAGTTGTTTCTGGGATGAAATATTCTGTAGAGTCTGTTAGATCTATTTGATTTATGATATTATTTAGGTTGGAAATACCTGTATTATATGTTTTGGTGGCCTGTCTATTGGTGTAAGGGTGTGTTGACATCACCCAGTAATATCTTGTTGGGGTCTAGCTGAGATTTAATGTTATGGAGTATTTTTTAATGTAATTGGGTGCACTGACATTTGGAACATAAATATTTATTATCATCATATCTTCTCTCTGTGCCTGTTGCAACCACACTGGACCAGGCATACTCTGGATTACACAACAGGTGACTGCTAGCACAGACAGGCAGGCAACTTCCTTTATCAATTCCCAATCTCCAGCCTCTGCTTGTAGCTGTGTGGCCACTCAAAAATAGTTCACACCCTTTTGGCTGAACAATTTTAGTCACTTTTAACACAATAACTTCCCCCGCCATCTCTGTGTCAGTTAAGGCTCACCCTTGTTCTCTATTCCACAGGTTCCCCCAAGCCAATTTTCTTTGCCATGCTTTCCTCTCTCTCTCCCTCTCTGCCTGTGCTGCCTTGCCCTCAGCAGCGGGCTGACATTTTACATAGTAAAATGACAGCAGAATGCATTTCAATTCATAGTACACATATAGAGCACAATTTTTCATGTCTCTGGTTGTACACAAAGTAGAGTCGCACTATTCGTGTCTTCACACATGTACTTGGGGTAATTATGTCCATCTCATTCCACCATCTTTACTACCCCCTGACCTGTCCCTTCCCTCCCTCCCCTTTACCCTATCTAAAGTTCCTCCATTCCTCCCATGCTCCCCCTCCCACCCCACTATGGATCAGCATCCTCATATCAGAGAAAACATTCAGCATTTGGTTTTTTGGGAATGGCTAACTTCACTTAGCATAATATTCTCCAACTCCATCCATTTACCTGCAAATGCCATGATTTTATTCTCTCTTAATGCTGAGTAATATTCAATAAGTAATAAAACCACAGTTTCTTTA